AAATGCATTATTAATTTAAATTACAGTTTAAACAATTAAAATTGTATTTTAACAATGTCTTCCTCCAATAAAATCTGACCAACTTTTAACTTCATTTGGTATTTTACCATCAACTAGTCCACTAAATTCAATTCTTTTTCTCTTGAGAGCTTCTACAAATAATTTGGCACATTTGCCATCATTGACCAATGGTATACCAAAATCTACAGCTGACCTTCTTTCAATGTAATTTTCATCACCAATGGTTGAGGCTCGAAGTTGTGCCAAATTAAATACAAAATCTATTTTATTATCTGTGAAAGCCTTTTGTAATTCTTTTTTATCATCAACTGGTAAAGATAATGTTGTAGCATGTATGTCACGTTTATTTAACCAGTCTGTTACTTGTTTTGAACTTGTGTACAGTGGATGATTTAAATCCTTTGATAATGTATATGCAACATTAAAGAAATCTTCATCATTTGTAAGTTCATCTCTACCAATTAAAATGCCAGATCCGGGTTCTGGTACTCTAAAGTTTTGTGTAGATTGGATGGCTGCCCAGTAAGCTTCATATTTATCTTTACCAAAACATGCCACTTCTCCTGTTGATGCCATTTCCACACCAAGGAATGGATCAGCTCCTTGTAAACGAGTCCATGAGAATTGTGGTACTTTGACTGCTTGGTAATCTCTCTTTTCTTTCATAAGATCAATTGGTTCAGGTACATTTTCATCACACAAAGCACGAGTTGCAACATCAATAAAGTTAACACCAAGAACTTTAGAAACGAATGGGAATGATCTAGATGCCCTAAGATTACATTCAATAACCTTCAATTCTACTCCACCATCAGGTTCATCTTTCTTGATGACCTGCATATTAAATGGTCCTGTGATTTCAAATGCTTTTGCAACTTTTTGTGCAATCACTTTTAAATTTTCCATTGTTTCTTCACTAATGTCACGAGGTGGTAAAACTAAGGTTGCATCACCAGAATGTACACCTGCATTTTCTACATGTTCAGATACTGCATGAACCAACAGTTTACCTTTGTAGGCTACAGCATCAATATCAATTTCAGAGGCACCCAAAATAAATTTGGTAATAACTACTGGATGTAATGGTGAAACAGATGTAGCCTCAGAAAGGTTTTTGTGTAATGCTTCATGACTATGACAAACATTCATAGCAGCACCTGAAAGTACATATGATGGACGAACAAGAACTGGGTATCTATAAAAAATACACAAATAAATAAAGTGATTAGTAAATAAATAAAAGCATTTATTATTGAAAAAAAAATTTTTTTAATTGATTTTTTGGTCAATTCAACTCACCCAACTTTATCAGCAAATTTTTCAGCTTCTTCAGCACTAGTCAACTCCTTCCATTCAGGTTGATCAACACCAATTTGATCTAAAATCTTGGAGAACTTGTATCTATCTTCAGCTTTATCAATCATAACAGGACTAGTACCCATTATATTAACATTGTTTTGGTGTAATCTTAAAGCAATATTTTGTGGTAATTGACCACCAACAGATACAACTATATTTTCTGCTTTTTCTTGTTCATAAATATCCATAACTCTCTCATATGAAAGCTCCTCAAAGTAAAGTCTGTCACATTCATCAAAATCAGTTGAAACAGTCTCTGGGTTGTAATTTACCATGACAGTCTTCTTGCCCATATCACGAATTGCACGAATTGCTGATACACCACACCAATCAAATTCAACTGATGATCCAATACGATACACACCAGATCCCAACACCATAGAACCATGATCATTAAAATCTATGTCATGAGTTGAAGCATTATATGTGGTGTACAAATAATTTGTGTGGGCTGGAAATTCTGCAGCAAGAGTATCAATTCTTTTAACAAATGGTGTAATACCAACATCTTTTCTAGCTTTCCTGACTTGATCTTCAGTAACATTGTTTTCCAAAAATGAGGCAATCTGAGCATCAGAAAATCCTTTCTTTTTAGCTTCTTGTAACAATTCTTTTGAAATATT